AGGCATACAGAGACTATTCCCTGCGTGCATTTGGGCAAATGGCTGATGCATTCAAATCTGATTACTTCAACATGCCAGTTCATGTACGTAGAAATGGTTTCACAATCTATAGGTGTGTTGGCGTGTGTTTTTAAAAATCTGAACCTGTTTTTCATGTGTTTTACAGATGGTACCCACAGAGCTGGTTGAGAAAGAGTTCTGGCGTTTGGTTGGAGCCATTGATGAGGATGTTACTGTAGAATATGGGGCAGATATTGCCTCAAAGGAGTTTGGGAGTGGATTCCCCATTCCAAATGGAAAATTTAAGGTTTCCCCAGCTGATGAGGTAAACTGATCCTCATACGCTGAAAATATACCTCTGAAATAACACATCAGAAAACTTTGAGCTGTGTCTGTGAAATCAAAAAAAATGTTTTAATCATAGTGCAGTTTTTTTTTTAAATCATAGTGACATCAGCACTATGTTGCATGATAATTCCTGTGTTATTGTTCTGACTGTGGTGTCCATCTTGCAGAAATACCTCAAATGTGGCTGGAACCTCAACAACCTGGCAATGATGAAGCCTTCAGTACTGACTCATGTGACAGCTGATATCTGTGGGATGACGCTGCCATGGCTTTATGTTGGCATGTGCTTCTCCTCATTCTGCTGGCACATTGAGGATCACTGGAGCTACTCCATCAATTATCTGCACTGGTACTTGAGAAACACATCTGCTGATCCTAAACCTCAGCTCCTTTCTTGTTTTTTTTCTGGTTTGTGTGCTCTGGACTTTGCTTGCTCCTCAATTTTGGATTGTTGTAACTAAACTCTTGTGTTTATTTTATTTATTTCAAGGGGGGAGCCAAAAACCTGGTATGGAGCTCCTGGTTTTGCTGCAGAACAGCTGGAGGAGGTGATGAAGAAACTGGCACCAGAGCTGTTTGAGTCTCAGCCTGACCTGCTGCACCAGCTGGTCACCATCATGAACCCCAACACTCTGATGGCCCACGGTGTCCCAGTATGTGTTTAAATGACTTCCACATGCACTGATGCCTTTCCCTATCCCAACACATAGCTAATACTTAAATGAATGTGCAGCTGGTCTTTCTAACAGGAACATGAATGATCTTCTTTTGCCTCCTCTGCCTCAGATTTACAGAACAAACCAGTGTGCTGGTGAGTTTGTCATCACGTTTCCTAGAGCCTACCACAGTGGCTTCAATCAGGGCTTCAACTTTGCTGAGGCAGTCAACTTCTGCACAGTGGACTGGGTATGTATCATTTCATTTGTCCTCTCAACATGTCTTAATTGGTTGCTAAGCAACATGCAAGTAATTGGTTTGAGTTGTTTTTACTGATTAGTGGCATTACTATTAGAATTGTATGTATGATTAGTGTTTTCCAGAAGCCACCTGCATGAACTGAAGGGAAATAAAGACTGGCACAGTGTTTTTTAGATTAGAGCTTTCATGCATAGCAAATCATAATTATTTTAATCTGCAGATTGATTTCTCAATTAACTGAGCTAGTGTGTAAAATGTTAGCAAATAGTGAAAAATGCTGGTTCACATGGTGACGCAAATGTCTTGTTTTGTTCAACAACCAAGAACCAAAAGAGCTTCAGTTTAGTATCTCAGAAGAGTAAGAAAACAACAAAATATTCACATTTGAGAAACTGAAACTAGTGAATGTTGCTATATTCAATTATCAGAATTGTTGCACATTTGTTTCCTTGAATTTCATGCATCAGCTGCTCCTGTGACATTGTATTGCCATTGACCTGACATGATCTGTGCTTACAACCCATTTCTTTTCTTTTTCTATCACCAGATGCCTCTTGGCAGGCAGTGTGTTGACCACTATCGCATGCTGCACCGTTACAATGTGTTCTCCCATGATGAGATGGTGTGCAACATGGCCTTGAAAGCAGACACACTCAATGTGGTTCTAGCCTCAGCAGTCCACAAGGACATGGTTGTCATGATCCAAGAAGAGCAGGACCTGAGAGAGAGAGCGAAGAACATGGTAGAATAGTGTTCGTTATCATATGAATACACCATCATTGTTTTATATCATGTAATATCAGGTTGATTTTATGCCACAACTATAGTACCGTGCAAAAGTCTCAGGCCACCATTAGATTTGTTGTTTTAGCAAAGTTATAATGACTACATGTATTTATTTTTCTGTCTCGTTATTAGAATACAAATAGAAAATATAGGAAATATGTACACAGTATTAAAAAACACAAATGTCAGAAGAAAAACACCAAACAAACTGGATACCCAAGATGTGATATGGAGGACTGAGTGGCTGCAGCCTTCAGTGAAAAATGGTGGAGGGTCTGTCATGGTTTCAAGACTTAAAGATGGTCTCCCCAAAGGAAAGGCACACTAAATACTGAGTTTGGAATGTAGAAGCAGTTTTCTTCTAAAAAGGTTGTCTTTTAATATTGTGCACATGATTCTTGCATGTTCTGATTATATCTTAATAAAGAGTATAAAATATTATCAATACAACCTTGCTAAAATAGAAAAACTAATGGTGGCCTAAGACTTTTGCACAGTAGTCTACATTTCTCTGTCTGCAGATTCTTTTTCTCTCACTGAATCTTTTGTTCTGCACACCGTCTAATCATAGACAGGTTATGCAAATATTTCACATTTTTACCTTTGTGCAAAATGAAGTAAGCATTGTTGTTAGCTAGTAATGCAAGTCTCCAGGCCTTTTTTTGCAACAGTTCATGTTTAATATAGCACAAAGAGAGATGTGCAGTCTAGCAAAGGTGCTGTGATTAGCTTTTAACACCACCGTCATCTCGCACCTTCAGGGTGTGTTGCTTTGCAAGGAGGCCAAATACGATCACCTCCAGGATGATGAGCGGCAGTGTGTTAAGTGCAGGACCACCTGCTACCTGTCTGCCATCACCTGTCACTGCAGTCCAGGAGTACTGGTCTGTCTGCACCACATCAGCGACCTCTGCTCCTGCCCCATCACCAACTACACACTGAAGTAAGTCCCTCTGGAGCTGAAGAGGGGACAGTTAACGGGCTTCGCACAGATCAGAGTAAAAGATGTTTTAATGTAATGAATATGCCTGTAAAATATATTTTATCACTGTAAACTCTTGTTCTGTAGATGTGTGTCTTATTATCACCATGTAGCCCATATAACATCAGTGTTGTTTGCTCCTGCAGTTACAGATACACACTGGACAACCTGTTCCCCATGATGAATGCTGTGAAGCAGCGAGCTGAGCTGTATGATGAATGGGCCTCCCATGTGACAGAGACTCTGGAGGCTAAACTAGACAAGAAGAAGGGTAAGCAGGATGAGCACATGAGAAAACAAAGCACTGACAGGCCATACCAGTGGCTTTAGATATTTAAGCTAAACAACTACTGTCAACTTATGTTTTCTGTCAGTGTCAAAGTATCTAGGCATATTTTAGCTATTCTAATTTTTGCCAAATTGTCTTAATTTTCAGAATGAAATGTCTAAGGTGATGCAAAAGAAGTTCTTAGTAACATTAACAAAAACAGTGTTGACTAGTGTTTGACTTTGATGTACAGTCACAAGAAAAAGTAACCACACAGAGCTGTTAATTTTTCTTGTGACTATATGTTGAACAAATTTCAGGTGTTTTTGAGTTGGCTCAGCCTTTAAAATGAACAGAAAGTTATGGGCTTTTGAAAGTTACAACAAACTACAGTACCACCTGTATGATGTATGAATTGGTTGGTTGTCAGTAATCTATGTTTTATGCACATAGTATTTATTGAAAACCACAGGCACGGTCCTTTCTTTAGAAAGGGTTGTAAAACAGCTTCATCACTGTGACTGAAAATGATAAAAACAAGTAGATGCACTAAGTGTTGGAGATATCACAGTGCTGAGCAACTAAGTGTCACATGTCAGCCTGTGATTAACCTGAGTGTTCTCTCCTCAGGCCTGCCAGTCTTTCGTTCACTTCTTGCTGAATCAGAATCCAAAGTGTTCCCTGACAATGACCTGCTGCGACGGCTACGCCTGGTCACACAAGATGCAGAGAAATGCTCCTCAGTAGCACAGCAACTGTTGAACGGCAAGAGGCAGACCAGGTAGCCTTAGTACTCTACTACAACAGTAGTGTGTATATATCAGTTGCCTTCACATTTCTTTAAATTTACTCCCAAGTTAGGAAATGGTATCATTGGCTTAATGGCTTAATCTTTCCTTCATGGGACCTCCCCCCCTCTCCTAGGTATCGTTGTGGTAGTGAGAAATCACGAAGCCAGCTGACCGTGGAGGAGCTGAGTTCATTTGTGAGGCAGCTGTATAACCTCCCCTGCTGTCTCCCCCAGGCCCCCAAGCTGAAGGTAGGCTGAGGAGGAGAAATGAGTCCTAGGATGTCACAACTGTAAAATTACATTCATTTTAATTTAAGCTGCACAAACACTGATTTTATTGTGTCCTGCCACCATGATATGTGGTATGCAGGTCACATAATAACTCAAGAAAAATATATAGTAGAAACCTGATACTTGGACCACGGATACCCTACATAGAGTAGCCTATCTGATTAGATTTTGGTGTGTCTTGCTGCATAAGTTTGAGTGTTACTGAGGTAGAACTGTTTCTGTTACAATCTGTTAGTAGTTTCTCATCAAGAATACTAACAGTGAAACCATATGTGTTTGTCATGGAGATCATGATGGACATTATGCAGTCCAGGTGCCTCTTATTAATCATCCATGTTTGTTAATTCATGCTACTTGGTGTAATCGACCTCTCTGCCTGGCCAGGCTTTTATGTCCACACTGTAAAGATCACTTGACCGACTCCAACCTGAGTAATCACAGATCCCCTGGTCAGTTCTAACCTTTAACAATTCCATTGAGGTTTATTCCAGTAAGGTGGCTACACCCTCAACAATGCTGACCAAAAAGACAACATTAGTTTGTGCAGTTCTACTAAAGGAGCTGCAGATGCCTGGAAGATGGTGTCTGATCTGTCTGCTCTGCTGCAAAGTTTGGTTTTACATTGCAGCAGTTTCAGTCAAGTTTTACACAGCATGTAAAACACTACTCTGCAGTTCGTAAGATCCCTTATGAGAGCAGCCATGAGGGAACTCGGACAGGAGAGCTGCTTAATTGCTCATTTTCTTGATTGTGAAAGTAGTCATGAGTGACCCGGTCTTTCAGGGCTAAAATCAGGTTAATTCGGTTCAATGTCTGTCCATAGTTTGCTGTGTAATATAATAAATGTGATTTTGACAGAAATAAGGTATGCAAATTAATTTAAAAAACCTGTCTGTCTGGACCGTGTCTGTTCTTAGGAACTCTTGAATCACATCGAAGACTTCCAGCAGCACAGCGAGAAGGTCCTGGCTGATGAAGTTCCCAGCGTCGCAGAGATCCAGGGCCTGTTGGATGTCAGCTTTGACTTTGACGTGGAGCTGCCTGAGTTGCCTCGCCTGAGAGTGAGACTGGAACAGGCGCGCTGGCTGGAGGCGGTGCAGCAGGCCAGCACTGCCACCCTCACTTTGGAGACCATGAGGAGGCTCATTGACCAGGGAGTGGGCCTGTCACCGCACCCATCTGTGGAGAACGCCATGGCACGCCTTCAGGAGCTGCTCACCGTGTCAGAGCACTGGGAGGACAAGGCGAGCAGTCTCCTTAAAGCCAGGTGAGGGCAGCACAGACTGATCCATGATGATAGCATCTAAGCCACAGGGTGGAAGACATCATGTCTGTCCAGGTATTTGCGCTGATTGTAACTGAATACTGTAATATTACGTCAGTGCTCCTGATTTTGCTTCATTTTAATTACAGCTAGTGCAAAATGCTGCTGCTAGAATATTCAACAAGATCAACAAAAAGTGAGCATCATGTTTAGTTCTGCCCTCATTCCATTGGTACTCAGTGCTGTTCAGTATTAACTGTCACAAGTGCTTTTAAAAGGCTTTTTTTTAATGGCATGGCTGTCAAGAATGTGCATCTCCATTATCAGAAAAACTAATTTCATGCCAGGGCTTAAATTTCTACATTTTCCAGAAGTATTATGTTCCTTCACCATACTTGGTTTAATGCAGCTTTGAATTTTAGGTTTCACAGTTTTAAAATATTGTTTATAACTGTATTTTCTGTTCTGACCTTGAGTTATGTTCCATGTAAAGAGTGTAAATTATCCCATAAAACCGTGCGTAGACGACCTTTTCAACAGTTGGAGTGTTGGTTGGAAGTGTCCTGTGAGGATGATGTCTGAAGAAAATGTCTTGGCAGTTCTTGTTGTAGATAGTTATTAACCTGGAGGTGATGCAAGTATTGTGTCCAGATTTATTACCTACAGTGAAATATTTGTGCTGTACTGTTCACCAGACCGCCACACTCCATAGAGACTCTTAGTGCTGTTGCTGAGAAGGCATCAGGTATCCCTGCTTACCTCCCCAACTGTCTGCTCCTGAAAGACACCATCAGAAAAGCCCATGAGTGGCTTCAAGAAGCTGAGGAGCTGCAGGTTAGGATACAGACATTTCATGACTGGCGTGTTATTCTCTGTGCAGGATGATTTGGTTTGAATGTGATTGCAACACTGAAATACTCTTCCCTTTTCAGGCCAGCGGTTGCATACCAATGGTGGACAGCCTCTCGGACATGGTGCTACGAGGACAAGCCATTCAAGTCCACCTGGAGCCTTTAGACAAACTGGAGTCTTTAATGGTAGAAGTGCAAGAATGGAAGGAATCTGCAGCTTCAGCTTTCCTTGAGAAAGACTCACCTCTTTCCTTACTGGAGGTAAAATCCAATTCATTTAGAACCAATTTTAAGACCATGAGGTCATCACTGTTCAGCTCACTTAGTTAGTTCTCCACTGGATCTGTTTGTGTTCCAGCCCCTTCTGCATGTTGACATTTACAATGCCACATGTTATAGTGTTGTCTTGAGTTGGTTTACCAACAGTTTTTGTGTTTTACCTGAATATTGATTATGCATTTGCCTTTAGATGCGGTAACAGATGTTTTGAGACTCTCTCTTGTTTGTTTTTAAAAAGACAATCTAACTTCTCTGTGATCACTCATTTTAAATGTCAGTAAAGCCGATCACATAGCACAGCTATGATCATACACTAACATAGCCTGTATTTATGTTGCTATGTCAAGGCAACAGCTTGAGAATAACTGCCTGGTGAACATGTAACATTTATGAGCCACAGTGAAATCACTGCTGCTTATGTTTTCCTTTGTCTAACAACAGAAACAAATGTGTCATTGACAGCAGCCAAGTCATGAGGTTGGCTGAACCAAACCAAAGTGTCCTCTCCTTCACTCTGTTAATGATAAACAGACAGATATCATCCTTCTTTCTCTCTCTCAGTAATTACAAACAATGATAGCTTTGCTTTATATAGGACTATATGAAATGTGTCATAAGTTCATCTTAAACCCACTGTAAAGTAATACAAGTATTGACAGTATAAACTACATTCACAAGTGAATTTAAAGGTACTCTCATAAATTTCTTTTTAGCTACTAGAGGATCTAATGTGACCAAAAATGCACTATAAACAACCCCTTACTGCCTGTAAAATGCCCTCACATTCAACAATGAGAGATGTAATTTACACACACACACACACACACACACCCTCCTTCCTCAAATGTGTTTTAATGCTGGCAACACCTCAAATGAATAACTCCCAGATTTTAAACCTGGTTTCTCCTGAACCTATCAGATGCAGAGGGTATAAATTTTAATTCTCTCCTCCCCTACTTTACATCCCTGAATAGGAACACCTTAAAACAGTTCTTTATAACCTTTACTAGATAGCATGGGGGTTAATCTATGGAGCATACTTTGAAAACCCAGTTTAGAGAAGCTAGAATAATAACAGAAGGTGTGGAGTGTCATCCAGCGGGTTTTGTAGATGAGAGACATTACATACTGTTAATTTTTCACTTGATTTGTGAGACGAAACCTAAGGTAATGCACCTTTAAAGTTTCAGAGATGTAAAGCCAGCAGAGCAGAAAGATGAGCTAGTGGACATTGGCCTTTACTCCTCTGGGCCTAAAAGTACAAACGGCTCACATTCATTTTGTTTATGACAGGTCCTTTGTCCAAGATGTGAAGTTGGAAATGTAGGTTCTCCAAAGAGGAAGGCCAAGAAAGGGAAAGAATCGCCTAAAAGTAACAAAAAGAAAACCCCACGGCTCAACACTCTAAGTGATGTGGAAAAAGCACTTTCAGAGACCAAGGATTCTTCTTCTGCAGTGAGTATATAAATTCTCAGTTGCTTTGTACATTAGTAGCTATGACTGCTAAATGTTGACTGACTTGTTGTGACACTCTTCATTTGATTCACCAGATGGCAACTCTGGAAGAACTGCGCGTGCGGGAGATGGAGGCTTTCTCTAATCTCAGGGCAGCAAATGAGTCAAAGCTCCTTCCCACAGCAGACTGCATGGACCTAAAGGTGTGTGTCTGTCAGAAGGCGCCCATGGGCGCCATGCTGCAGTGTGAGCTCTGCAGGGATGCCTTCCACAGCGTCTGTGTCAAAGAACTGACAGACTCCTGCAAAACACAGCCTTGGCTCTGTCCACACTGCCAGCAATCAGAAAAGCCCCCCTTGAACAAAGCCCTCTCTCTGCTGGCATCTCTGCGTCACATAGGGGTGCGCCTACCAGAGGGCGAGGCACTGCAGTATCTGGTTGAGAGGACAGTTAACTGGCAGCAGCGGGCACAGCAGATTTCACAGACCTGTAACCTACCAGAACTGGAAGAGAGACCAGGAACTCCTCCCATCCTAACGTGCTCGGTATCAGGCAGCCATGACATTCACAACAACACTCAGGTCCCTCATCTACTTGTGTCAGTTTTTCTAGCAGTTCACTGAAAATGTATTCATTGTAAATGTTAAATTTGGGAATGTTTCTGGTACAGGCTCCTTGTCTGACTCCAGAGTGGAACAGGACAGGCCATGCTCAGACAGTTTTCTACACTGAGCAGAGATGTATACCGCTGCAGGGTGAGTGCAGTCTTATTCTGAACTGAAGTAGAGACTAAGTGATCATGTACATCAGTGGAAATCATGCTTAGTCATTCATTTAAGATTATTATTGTTGTTTATTTTCTGTGCAACAGGCTTGAGTCAGGAGCTGGACGAGCTAATGGTGGAGGGGCTCCTGCTGCAGGTGTCTCTACCAGAGATCCAGAGCCTCTACCATGTTTTATTAGACCGAGCCAGCAGCCTACAGACGAACAGATGCATGTCGCCATCCCAGGACGAGTCCACAGACACACACATGCAGTTTAACTCTCAGGGAAAAAAACTGCCACTGAACAAGGTAGAAACTCTTCCACAAAAAAGAATGGTTAAGAAAAACGCAGTATAACTACCTCAGTATCAGTTTTGACTTGTATTATTTTTATTTCCAGGATGGAATCAGTGGCATGAGGGAAACTATGACTGTCTCAGAGAAGAAAGCAAAGCGGCATCTGGAGAGGGACGGTGTAGATGGGGAGCGCAGGAGGAAGGACAAAAAACACTCTCGCAAACGACAGAAGATGAATAAAAAGAACCTGCAGCGTAGGCCAGCCTCAACCTCATCGTCCCCTCGATCTGATTTCTCCCAGTCTGATGACTCTGATGAGGAGATGGCTGTTTGTCCGGCAGAGAGGTGTTGTCTGCCAGAGGGAGATGAGGTAAGAAAAGTAAGGTGATGATAGAACCTGGTTCTCTGTGGAGGTTAGGCCTGTGATGCACCAAGCCCACAGTTGGCCATTGGCCACTGTCACGCTGTTGGTGTGCTTCTGTTTCCCTCATGTTTGTGGTGTCTCCCGCACTGCTGGTACTAGTTAGACCCTGTCGGGGGCTTTTCGGGCTATGTTGCCTCCTGAATCGGCCACAGACCTTGTTGGTGAGAGAGACTTCTCTGATTGGCTGTTTAGTTTAACAAAAAAGTGCAAGAGAAGAGATTGTTTCAGGAAAGCCCCTTCAGCCTTTCATTGTAGTATCCATGATTTCACCCATTCAATGCAGTTTCTTTTTCCACAACTAAAAGACCAAGGGCAGAGCAGGGCCCTGTAACGTCTTATCAGACATGTTCTAAGTTAGAAGCAGCTACAAACAGCAGCTGTGTTGAATGAGAGATGCTTTGTTTACTGTTTGAATTTCCACAGTCTTCTTTCCCTTTCTGAATAACGAGTACAGATACCGCCACCTGCTGGTAGGAGGAGTTATTTCTGTTACTCAAGCGTATGTGCTAGTTGGCTGTAGTCTGCGTGGTGTGTTCAAGTGCCACTTTTTCAACCAGACTGGCCGAGACAAAGGCAATGTGAGGCGGTGAAACAGTCAGCCTACGTTGCTACTAGTTCTTTCATGTCAGCTTGATGTGTCTCTGCACTTACTTTAGCTTTCAGTTAAAGGAGACACCGTGTAAATACAAAATGTACGTAACTGTCATGTAACTATCAGTATTTATCTGAAGCTTATGTGAGGCTTCAGCAGGCTGAGCTAATCAGATTAAATGGACATCAAGGTTACAGATCCAGGGGAGTACTGAATTCAGTTCCTTCAAAAATAAATAAATAAACATCTTAGAATCTTAAGTCTTAAATTTCATTTACAAATGCCATGCCTGTAATAGGCAGTAATGTTATTTATAAGATGTTTTTGTATCCAATTGTGTGAGTTGTTACATGTCCATAAATTCAGTTGTTGTCTTGCTACAGGAGGATGTTCTGCGAAGTTGCAGCACCATCAGATAATGCACAACTGTCACTTATAGCAAAAACTTTTTTATTGTTCAATCCATTCATCCCTTTTCCTGCTTATCTGGGTCAAGTTCACATGAATTATATAACAGGGTGTACTATTACAGACAGCAAGGGTGTGACAAATGTAAATAACATCATGTGCTTGGGAAGTATTTGCAAGGATGTGACAAATGTAAATAACATCATGTGCTTTATAAATAATTGTAGGTCTTATTACTGATGTTTCATTTTTTTGACCTGCGTGACCATGAAAAGGGCTCACAGTGACAAACCCACAGAGAATTAATCACATTTTATTTGTATAGTGCCAGATCAAAACAAAAATAACCAGAGGGCACTTTACATACTAAGGTCAAATCCTTGGAGGAAAAACCCAACAAAATGAGCAAACACTTGGCGACAGTGGCGAGGAAGATCTCCCCTTAATGGAAGAAAACTCTGACAGACCCAGGATCTTGGTGGGTGGCCATCTGCCTTGACTGTCTGGGTTGAGTGGATAGAGGAGAGGGGAAGGAAAATAAGAGCATCAAGTAACGACAAACAGTGGGCAGGTTAATTTGGTCAGTGACTGCTCATCAGAAATGTACAGCTCTGGAGTCAGGAAAGGTACAGAGGGAGAGAGCACAGACTACAGGATAGAGGGGAGAGACAGTTATTGTGCAGTGGTGGAGAATCAGGGGCAGAGAGAAGCCCAGTGCATCATGGGAAGACCCCCAGCAGTCTAGGCACCCGACTCTGAGGTTCTCCTGAACAGCTTAGGGGGTTTCATCTTTTTGTTGTGGTTTTCTGGCCCTGTAGCTTCACTGTGTTGGTTCAGTGTCACAGCAGGCCTCTTTTTGTGTGTGTGTGTGTGTGTGTGTGTGTGTGTGTGTGTGTGAGACGCTCTAAAAACCCAGTGTGCTCTACCTGCTCACACAGAAACAGTAAGGAACTAGCTGCCAAGTTCAGCATTGAGCAGCTACGGAGACTTATTTCAATTAGAGGAATCCAAGAGGAGAGTGACCTGGTGGGCACCAACATGACAGCAAATGAATGATAATGCTGCTCCATAAACTCAGAGATGTTTATGCAGTAGACTAACAGGTTTCCAACATCACTTTATGAGACAGTACCTCACTGTGTGCAGCTTGTTTCTGCTGCCTTCAAGCGGCAGGAAGAATAATGTTAAACTGAATTCCTTCATGGTGGAAACCTCTTGCTTATGTTTGCTGCAGGTGGATTGGGTCCAGTGTGACGGCAGCTGTAACCAGTGGTTTCACCAGGTCTGCGTTGGTGTTACGGCTGAGATGGCAGAGAAGGAGGACTATATTTGTGTCAGGTGCACACTGAACGACGGGCACATGAGAAAATGAAGAAAGCAGAGATTTTTCTGAAGGATGACTGAAGGGGTCTGCCTGTCATCAGTCCGTTATTGGAGTCACCAGTCTGGATGTGTCACTGATCGTGTACCCCCCTCACCTTCGTCCTGTCTGTCCGACCCTTTTGTAACAACGGTGCTATCTCCTCTTTGACTTGTTGTCCAGAACTACGTTTAGTTATTTTTTGTATTTTTACATATACATATTATATATATATTATATATATTTCTTTCTCTTTATGAATTGTTTGTGGTTGTCTAAGTGGGAAAAAAACAGGATGTGAAGTGTGCTGCATGGGATTCCGTCACATCGGCGCCAAGGAGTCTTACAGCATGATGCATCCAGTAAAGAGGGTTAATCAAGGCATAATATTATCTGGAACCTCCTTGCATGTTAAACCAGAGCTAAAGGGACAAAAGTCAAGGCTTTCACCCCCTCTTCCCCTGAAAAAAAAAAAAATCACTATTGCAATTTTTCTTTGAAATCCAGTGTTTAGTACATGCATCTAAATATAATTATTCCCTTTTTTGTAGAATAGGTTTATTTATCTGAGCAATAATTTTGTCTGAACTGACTTAAATGGCTTAATCTCCACTGAGTTGTTGGTGCGTTAGCGTTGATGTGATGTACAGAAGGCTACACAGAGGGGTGGATTAGCAGGCAGAGGAAAAGACGCTGCTGACGTGTACATCCACAGCGTGTAATCTTGTATAGTGGGAAGTACTCGGGGTAGCTGAAGATGTTACAGTTTATATTGTGGAATAAAGCCCTTTTGTTCTATGGAGAAGTCTCTTGCTTTCACATGAGCATCGCAGAAACAAACCACTAGATGTCTTTGTAAACATTATCTTAAAAAGAATTATTCTGTTTATAGAAGAACCAGTGATCATTTTCATACATCAAACTGTTATTTCTTCATTAATAGTTTGATTGATCAGTATATAAAATGTCAGGAAATAATGAAATTGTCCATCATTATTACTTGAAGCCCAGGTGAAAATATTCAAATAGCTTGTGTTGTCTGACCAACTGTGGAAAAAACAAAAACAAATTCTGAGTAATACTAATAGAAAAGTTGGAAACTAACAAATACTCATATTTTAGGAAATGGTTACAGGTGAGTTGTGAGCACTGATGCTTAAAAACTAATTCATTATGACATTTGTTGACATTAAAGCTTTAAGGAACCGATTAGTTTCTGGGTGCCTGAGGTAATAATGAAAGTGCAGTGTATAGTGGTGCTCAACTGGGGACCAGCAACACGTTTTTGCTCTGTGCGAGGTTAATCCAGCCGTGGCATGTGCCAAAAATCAGTCTACATGTGAAACATGACAGAACTGAGATAAACCTAAACCCCTTAACTGCACTATGATGTCTTTGGCCTTTGCATCTGCCTTTAAGGTCCCAGTTTCTCCAGCTACAGAGGAAGTGTTCAGATCAGGTAACACAGAGACAAACACTGAGTAACTCCAACATACTGAGGGTAAAGAAAGTCATGTGTCAGTGAGGGATGAATAAGAGAAATCCATCCTTACAACAGATGTTCATCATGACAGACATAAAATGTACCAGTGACATGTAGGAGTGGTTTGTTTTCAAGTAGCACTGTGATTATTTAGGGTTTGTTTTTTACACAGTTGTCAGACTAATGAACTGCTCATCAACAGCCTGAAACCAAGCTGTGAAACATGAATAATCCCAGTGTTAAAATACAGTGCACACATTTCCTCTGGACTTATATTTGAAGACTGTGTTGGGGGAGAAATTTCCTCTTCTAACAGGAGGGGGTGAAGTTCATGGAACAGTTTGTTTCCTAATGTGAAAACAAATTAGATTCCTTTACAGGAAACGGCTGCCAAGCCACAGAGCCTGTTCAGGACTAGACATCCACTGTACTGTACTAGTCCGCAGCAGGTTTCCTTGACTGCTCTGATCTGTACAATATGTTCACTAACCATTTAATTTCCTTAATAGTTCAATAGATGTAATTTTTATTTGTAACATTAACATTATCCACCCACAAATGAAGCCACAGTATGGATGATAACTCCACCCAGTAAATGACTCCAGCAACAAATTGAGAAGAAACACACCAAGTGAACCCATCAGACTGAGACAGATGAAGCCTCAAAGTGACGCTCTCTCCACAACTGAGCCTCACTTTGACCAAGATCATACTGGAGGTGACTGCAGTGTCTTATTCAACTGCTTATTATGACGCACAGTAGTCCTTCCTGCATAGCGCAGAGTGAAGCCCTAATCAACCATATAGCGAATGATGTTCTACAATACAGTCTCTCAAGGTAAACTTCACAGTAAACATATCACATATATTTAGAGTAATATTTAATGTTAAACATGGCATAAAACATTTTCATTATTGATTAATAAGCACTAAAGATGCTGGTGTGCCCAGAGCTGAGTGAGTATTCCCATGGAAACCTAGTATTCATGTTAACTGATGTTTTTATCACTGGGCCCCTCAGTGGATTTTAGGCCAGGCCTTTATACATTTGCTGGGCCCCATCAGGCAGCACTCTCCAGACATAAACTACCTTTAAATTTATCTGCTTAGGCTAAGTTGCTGTGGCCGGCTGTACTGGATCCATGTGAATGTTACAGCCTGCTCAGTAGTCCAGCTGTTATCCCTGCTTATCTAGCTTTACTGGTCCTACTTTTATTTACTAGCTATATCAGAAAAGCACCATTCCCTGACCTAGTGGAGCCTTAAAAGGTTCTTGAATCCTATCATCACTCAAACAAAGAGCAGATTCTTGGCAGCATGACCTGGCCTCACATCTGCACTGTACCTGCTCGCGTCTGGTTCAGCTGTTATTATTTGTGCATGTGTGTGTGGGAGCCCAGTGACGCAAAAGTTTGCGTCAGCACCTCAGTAACCTGACAAATGAAAACAAAAAAAGCATGTGTATAATCTACAGTTTCTGATAAGTTGATAAGTAAGAGTGTTCACAGGGTGTTTGTAGGATGAGAGACACACGCCAACTGGATAATGTATTTACTTTTATTTACTTTGCTCAGAGTATAATTTTAGGCCTGGCATTTATAGCTTCCCTATCTACAGTTTATGACAATGGTTGTGGTAATAACTCTGTTTGTTTGAATAAAGGCAGGAACATTTTGTTTGAGTAGCATGGCAGCACTGTCTTCAGAAAGCAGAACATCAAATGATGTTTGCAGTGATAGGTCATCTGATGATGAACAGCCTCTTGTCTGTCATGAAGTCAAAAGCCATATTTAGCTGGTGTAATGAGGGAGATATGCAGTAAGAGTAACTCATCTAATCCATTCAGTCACTGGGCTGTGACCAGTTGGGTGTCTTACTCTTTTATATGGGCCTTTGTCATGTGAGCAGTCAGTGAATAGGCAGGCACACGATGACAGAGGAACTATGTAAAGTTAATGATCACAAGTTTAGAAATGTTTATAATGTACCAATAATGTGACACACCTACATAAATTAAATGTGTCTCAGGAAAACATATTATGTTGGCTTGTCAACCAAGTGAAGAGCAAATTCTGCTCAGCTTAAAATAAAATATTCTAGTAATGACTCCACGCTAGCAGCTCCACTACCTATGCACGGTGGCACTTTGAGCTACATGCTAACTGTTCACACTGACAATGCTAACACCCGACTTCAAAGCAAGTGTGTTTATCATGTTTCCCATCTTGGTTTAGCATGTTACCATGCTAATGTTGGCTAATTAGCACTAACTAAGAACTAGGCCCACAGCTGAGGGATGATGATGATGGGAATGTCATTTGTTTTTCAGGTTTGGTCATGAGTTTTGGAAAACTCCAAATGTTGATCCTCTGATGAAAAGCTAAAGACTTACCAAAGTTGTTATAATACATCTGTAGGGGAACATGAATGTCTAAACCAAATTTTGTCCCAATTTATCAAGTACATTTTGAAATTAGTGTTGCCTGATTTGACGGACACCAAGCTCGTCTGGGAATCACGAATGTTGTAAAAACTTTCACACCAATCCATCTGATAGTTGAGATATTTCAGTCTGGCAGACAGACAGACAGACTGACCAACATTGCCATTTCCAGAGCCATGCCACTAGTATGGATGAAAAGGTCAAAACACAATGAACATAGTGTTTAGTTACTCTAATAAACTGAGTGCTTGCTATGTAAAAATAAGCATGCTTAAAGTTCCTGAACACTAAGTACTGAAAAAAGAGATTTTTCTGTGGTGTCTACTTTCAAACTCCCTGCATCTCCACCCTGAAATGGCTGAATCACTGATACTATTATTCTTTAGGGAGTCTGTGTTGTGTACACATGAACCTCACAGCTGAGTAAACTGAAAGAGAAGGGCATTATGGAAGCTGAGTCACCTCTCCCTCAGTATTTTGTGATCACCAAAACACTGACATGACAGATGTGTAATTACTCAGGTGTGCTGTGTCCACCTTACACAACACAGCAACCACAGCTGCAGAACTGGGGATTTGTCCGAGTACACCTAAATTATCACAGCACCTTTGTGCGTCCACTGACTGCTGGCAGAGGTGCAGTCTGCTCAGCAGCCCCATGTGATCTCAAAGTTAAATGTGTACTGCCTTATCTGACTACTTTCAGATGTCTGCAGTTCAAATACAGTAAATAATGTATTTCAGCCTAAGTATGAGGTCACATCATATGTTACACAAGTACTTTATCTAGTCTAACCCACCAACCAGTGAGAACAATGTATGATTTTCATTCAAAATACAAAGAAACAAAAGTAAAAGAACCAATTCAGCCAAATGCTTTGAATAAACAGTGCTGTGCAACTGTTTTAGGCCCGGTTCTTCCTTAGATTTAGGCTGTCTTAATGTCTCCTCTTTCTTCCCTGCATGATGAATAAGAATCTTAACACCCAAAGTGTAAAACATTTGCACAGTACTGTTTGGCCAAAAAACAATCAAACGATGAGACTATACAAACATCAGGAAAGTAGCCTTGTCTGTGTTAAAGACTGAAAAGAAATCCCATTTCATTTTAATTATACAAATACCCAAACATAAGAACATGAATGGCTTTTGAAGTCATGTCACAAACATCAGTTCTCAGTGCAGCACGCTACATCTCATAATCAAGTCACTCTTTCTCAGTCTGCCATATTTTCTTCTTGGTGTGTTTGAAAATCAAATGTTATTTTGAGATGCTTCAACAGTGTAAGCAAAGCACAAATCCCAGTGCAGTTATCTGCAATGTGAATGTTAAAAATGGAATATACAGTATTTAGATCACTTTATTTAAGACTAAGAAGGTGTCCCTTACCATTGAGGTTTTTTCATTGTCCTACAGAGAAAACATGCAACTTTATCAGTAATTTCAGGTAAATAGTGACTCATATGGGAAATGTTGAAAACAAATGTAATACCCATTTGTTTATGACATGCATTTATTGTCCTTCCTGACCAGACATTTGAATTAAACAATCTGAAAGGCTTAGAGGGGAATGTCTCAGATGGACCTGATAAGAGTTCATAAACATCTGAAACCTGTGACAAGATCATGTTTCTGATGTAAAATCTTAATTCTAATTGCTGATAAGAGCTCATAAACATCTGAAACCTGTGACAAGATCATGTTTCTGATGTAAAATCTTAATTCTAATTGCTGATAAGAGTTCATAAACATCTGAAACCTGTGACAAGATCATGTTTCTGATGTAAAATCTTAATTCTAATTGCTGTCAGATAAATGTAGTGGTGTCAAAATTACAATACTTCTCTCGAGATGCAGTGAAGTAGAAGTTAAAGTTGCAGAAAAAGGAAATATTCAAACAAAGTACATGTGCCTCAAAACTGCCCTTAAGTACAGCAGTTCAGTAAATGTACTGTAGTTACTTTGCAGCACTGATTATTATCCTACTAAAACAACACCTACACACGCAGCTGACAGGCAGTATGCTGTGCCTCGCCCCTCTCCATCTCTTAGCAGAGCACTTTATACTGTAATACTCTTCCCACAGACAAACAACCACAAAATGTCAATAAAAACACTTCCAGTAAAGGAGAAGTCTATTTGGACTGGGGAAGTTTAAAGTGCACCTCGACCTGTTCGGCCGTGATAGGCTGATCCTGATCCAATCACCAGCTGCTGTCCGAGCTTTTCCGTACGTTCACTCAGTGTGATTTAGCGCACACATAGCGGAACACGGTAAGTGCTTTATCAAGCTTTACGTCTGTTTAATACGACTGATTTGACACTCAGTTGTCAGTGTATGATTAAGGTTAGTTTAATGGCTAATCCCTGAACAGTTGTGTGCCTCCGACCAGACACCAAAACTACTTCTGGCTCCACTGCAGCGAAGTAATTCTTGTGGGTAAAATAGCTTAGCTTCTAAGCTAGATGACTGGACTGAGTAGCTAACCTCAGCTAATGACTAACTAACGAGTTATCGATACAAATATATTTTTGGTTCAAGTAATTTAATGTCCGATTGTATCTCATGTACCTACCGACGTGTAGTAATTCAGTCTCATGCTAACAGAAACACAGCTCGCGTCTTAAAGATTAAACATTAGAAGAAATATAACAGGAGATTTGAGAGTTAAGCCTGATGCTAACTGTCTAGCTAAGTTTTAGCCTTCGGTGTTCGCTAAATAGTTATGGCAACTTAAAATGGAGTTTAGCGTTTACCAGAAAAGAGCTAACTAACGCTAAACTGTAAGATAAGTTTTTTTTTACTCTGTCATGCTAAAGTATTAAGTTAATGCAACACTCTTGTTTGTGATGCACAGCTTGTCATATTTTTCCAGGCTAACACCCAATAACGTTGGGTTAGTTGGCATTTACCAAATGTTGCTAGCTGAGTGCTAGCATGTGTGTTGCTAAGCTTAGCCGTGGTCGAGATACTTCTTAGGATCGATTTCAGCCTCTAAGGTTTAGCGTTAAATTCACATGTAATGTAAGTAGACCCGTTAATGCTGCCGACTGGTTAATTTAAAGAGTGTAAGAGTCGCAGTATGTGCATTGGGAAACTAATAGCCACACCCTTCCTTCGAAAGCTACTACACTTTTAAGTTGTCATGAAATGTAGTTCATTTTGTCAGACGCGAACTTTGCACTAACCTTGTTTGTTTAGCATATACAGCCACACTTGTAGACTTTTCTGACGTCTTATTAAAGGACTTAAACCAGACGTATGATTGTGCGCTTCTGCAAAGTTGAAATCCATTTGTCCCTGTTTGGTTCTCACGCGCACACACACACACACACGATAAAGGGTTTTCTATAACGTTGAACTGATAAGTTTCAGTTGCCCAGTCGGCCATTAAAGACTAAAAAGCACCAACTTTGTCTTGTTTTAGACAAACTTTTTTCCCCAACTGTCTGGCAACAGGTCTTCCAAGGCATAAGTAGTTTTTATATGTTAACATCACCCTGTTGGACAACCCACCTTCTGACTCTGTGTTAAAGAGGAAATAGAAGTCATCTTCACCTCACACTGTGATTACACACAGTTCACAACAGTTTTAAGACATTAACCAATAATAGTAATACTTCTTCTAATTTTCTGGTTTTCCAGTTTGTTTTTTCATGTGTCTACCTTTCTAAACAATGGTTTTGTAGTGAATTGATGATCTTTATGTAGACTAGTAATGTTGTGCCTGTCTGAATCTAAACACTTAAACATTTAGGTCCACGTTCTGGTCTGGGCAGTTTGGTGCACCTTACCTTTCTGGACCCCTACCACCTTCAGCCCCCATCCGCTAACAGCAGTGTACTTGAGGATTTGCCGGACACCCCCTCCCCAGATGTAGAGGGAGTTGTCTTCTGCAGCAGCTGTGTACACAGTAGGTTAAGATGTTTTCTTGTGTCATTATACAGATCTGTGCAAAGTACACTGTACATTTGTAAACTGGGGCAGGCATTTGTTTATATTTAGCTTCTAGATCATAAATGTGTTTGTTAGTCGTTTGCTCTCATTTCCAAAGGCACCAAAAATTCATGGGTAGGACTGGTGAACATTTCAGATTCAGTGTATGTACTTGAAGTGTTTGAGTCCAGGCTCATATCTAATAAGGGGAAGGCTCGTGTTCCTTATCCGATGTCAAGGCTTTGAGGCAACTATTGACACAGCCACATAAATTTACATTTTAAATGCAGTATGATTTGCCTTTGTGCACGTTTTCAAGCTAGCAAATGCACACGTTAGCATCAGTCACCCTCTAGGTGCATTCCCTCACCCTGGTAATGGTTTCAGTGCAGTGAACATGCATGCACTGTGTGATCTGTGTTTTCTGTTTGTATGGTGTACTTGAGGAGAGGAGGGTCATTACAATGGCTCTTTGTAGAGTGCCTTGTGTGCCTGCCTCACACTGTGGGTTTCTGGTGGTGTTTCATACGTGATAGTTAGAATTGCAAATGCCGGTCGAGTGTGACAGAGTGGTTTTTGTATTGTTTGTCTCAACGTTTGACAAAGGTCCCACAGACACAGTGTGATTAGTAGATCCAAAGAGGTGCTTAAATGAGATGTTGCTGTGCCTCACCCCCTCTGTGACATTTGTACATCAAATGAAGAATACATTTAGCATTTACAGCAAAGCTTCTCGAAGCACTAATATAAAACTTCTCACCAGGTGAGTCATTGTACATGTTTGTGAAGGGTATGGTTATGTCATTATTGGCTCGGCCACATGTACTTTTTGTGCTGCTTTTAGTGATGAAAATGTTCTTATTTGCCATCTCCATTCAGTCAAATCTGTTAAAAGTATACAGGAATTTAGACAGGTTTACTAAGTGACATGTTTCGTTGTCATGGCTGTACACAGTTTTATCATTCACAGGACAACGAAACTCAAAATAGTTATTTGTGGGAAATGACACCACAGAACAGAAGCCCTCGGTATTACTCAAGGACTTAATGATGCATTTATTATTATAATTATCAGCAAGTTTTATACTTTTATATTCACTGGGTAATCCTGGGATTTTTGGACAGTCGTACACCGAATGAAGAGAACATGTCTGTCTTCATCCTAAACAGTTTCATGCACTTTTGTTTTGTTTTGTTTTTGGTGCCAGTATTCTCTAGGACACATGTACTGCCTAATTTAATTAAATGAGTTTTTATTAAAGAGCTACTTAACGATCCAGTGTTACTGCCAGGTGAAACGTTCCTGGTGTTAAGGAGCCAGTCTGTGGTTTGTTTGGCTCATCTTGAATTTCTTCTAAAGAGGCGACACCCCTGTCATCAAGTCCCATGGTAGTGGGTGGGAACGAGAGCTCATTTTTTTGGCAGAGGAATGACGTTTTTATCTGCTGATCTGAGCAACGCTTTTTCCTTGTTGTAGACACTGTATAGACAGGGTGTTCACAGTGCAACCTGATAGGTTCACTACTTCCAACATAGCCTGTGGGCGATGCTTCTGATGGTGTCCTGTAGCGAATAAATCTTGGGTTGCAAACAGACAGTACTTCCAACAATTACTGATGGTGGCGATGACAGTCTGAAGGCAGTGTTTCAGTATTTCTATCAATGCTTTGATTCAAATTAAATATTGTCTCAAATGAGGGATCATTTCAGTCAAGTTATATCATTCCTTGACGGTGTAATTTGGAAAAAGTTAAAGTTTAGCTTTTTTATTTTTATTCAATTTATTTATTTATTTTTTTATTTCCCTCTAGCTGGAAATGACAGCTACCCTATGTCTCACGTCATCTTCCTCTGTTCTTTCACAGACTCTTGAGCTGTGAAGTTGTCCACCATGCGCGAGTACAAGCTAGTGGTGCTGGGATCAGGAGGTGTGGGAAAATCAGCACTGGTGAGTCATGGCTGCTGCTGCTGCTGGCAGCAGCACCGAACCGAGTCAACCTACGGATCACATAGATTGTATATACAAATGGACAACGCATCACCACTTCCCCCCACTATGCAAAACGTTTGGGAGCTGTCATGTTGTCCATCTTTATATACAGTCTGTGGTTGATCATAAGAAGTTAAGGTTGTTGGTGTGTTTATAAAGTAATGTACATTATATTTGTATGCTTTAAATATAAAGGCCAATTATTTTTAAACAAAATTATAAATCATAGGTTCTTACTGCTACAGAAATTGTACTGTTGATTAAACACCTCACTGTGATGTCATCAATAAATGTTTGTGCACGGTATTAAAAGTAAAAAAAAAAATAATTTTTTTAAAGGCACGGATTTCAGTTTCCTCAAGTAAAGGTATCAGGAAGTCTGAAACTCCATTTACATCACTTTTAAACATTTTTTTTCTAGCCCGATGTAGGTAGTATTGTTACTCAGGAAAATGTTTTTGTGATTTCCCATCAAAAAACTGGTTGT